AAGCCAACTAGGGACTTCAAAGATTCTGTTTCTGATTTCTGACTGGGACTGCATGGAATTTTACAGACTGCATTTCTGTTTTGTATATATTACATTAATAGATCACCTTACTATATGATGATCAGGAGAATGGAATGATTACATATAAAGAGCAAATCTCTTTTTTTTTTTAGTTTTTGGAATCAAGGTGGTCCACTTGTTTGTGTTAGTACAACACTGTTGATTAATTATGTGAACTTGAAATATATGGAAGAAGTCAAATGCCATCTGATTCTCTTATACACATTTTATTTTTTCCCAACTGTTTATTTTTCCCTTAGTCATTGTATACATGAATTTCCACTGGTCCTTATTTTTGGAATTGCTACATCTCCAATGGTCATCCATAAACTGCTTCCTCACTCAGTGTCCTCTTTGTTATGTATAGAACTCTTCCAGTCTCTTTCTTCCAAAGAACATTTAACTAAAGTGATTGATAAGGTAATGCTTTAAGAAAAGGTGTTGTATATTCTGTGCAAATTCTTGATAATCAAAATATTCATAGCTGTTCATTGTTAAAAAAATGTTTTAAAAAGTCAATTTTCTTATAGCGTTGTACAGGTTCTCCTCAACCTGTTGTTGTAATTGAGCCCGGAATTATTATAAGTTGTGGCAGTTATTAAACAGGCCACTATATGACCATGACCAATTTTACACGCTTTTTTACAGCAGTTATTAAGCAAATGCTTAATGACTGTTAAATGAACAGTCTGTTAAATGGTTGTTAAATGAATCTGTTTTCTTCAGTGGGAGTTTTTTTAGTAGAAACCAGAAGTAAATGCCCGAAATTGTCAAAAATCCCAAAAAGTGCAGCCATAAATTTAAGCTGGTTGCCAAGTGCCCAAAATGTGATCATTTGACTGGGATGTGTATGTTGCAGACATTGTAACTTCAAAGTCAGATCATAGGTAGCTTGGGGGAGCTCTGTCATATCTTTGAACGGATGCTAAAAGTCATTAAGCATGGACTACCTGTACTTTACTTTTTATTATAATTGCTACCATAGATTTCAGATAATAATTCTATGCCTATGTTCAGTATAATAATTCCATTAGCAGAACTGAAAATGTGGGTGATCTTTTTTTTCTCGTTGGCCCTGGAGCAAATTTTAGAGATTTGGGCAGGAGAGCTATTAAACAATTAGTCTTCTGCTAGCCAGATACTGGATTTTACTCTCAGACTTTCAGTGAGCAATAGGTTTATCAAATTAAAATATATTCGGTACATAGGTAACAGTCTGAGATTGGCTAATGTATAGATTCCAATGATTTCCTGGCAATATCAACTGGATCCATAATATAAAATGTGTAGAGAAAATATCATTATATAGTTACTTGTTAATTAGTCCATCAAATTATGTAATGAAAGTGAAAGGGTTATGTAATTTTTATAAATATTTGTCTATTTTAAAAAAGGAAATTTAACACAGAATTTTGATTTAATGGAATTCATGGTATTTATATAATGTTTAAATCAGACCATTTCAGTTACAATTATTTTCATTTTAAAAGTGTATTAATGTTCTTCTATTTCAAAATCAGTTTTTGCACTTACTTAAGAAAATACTTTCTGCACCGTTTACTTGCCTTTGAACTGCTATGCATTAAAGTATATTCTGGAACAGTACAGGGTGCACAGACTTTGGTTTTAATTCTATCAAGCCAACAAGGCCTCGATTTTCTCAATTTTATTCTCTGTTCTTTAAAAAAAAATTCAGTTGCTCAGTTCATACAAAAGTATTAATACTGTTGAATTTAAAAGAACATTTGTCATTATGGGGTTCCCATTAAGAAACTCTCCAAGATTTAGAGAATTCCAACTGCAGAAAGAATTAGTCATCTTATTTCAGAAATACATAATTTATTAATGTTTTTTTTCCCTACATCAGCTACTTCTGACGTGTCAATTTCCATTCAAAATTAGTGAGAAGGTTCTGCAGGTGCTAACAAACATATTTTTGTACCATGACTTCTCTGTTCATAATTTTGTCAAAGAATTTCAGGTAAGTGCTAGTGAAAGTAGATGACTAACTTTAGAAAGCTGAGTGATGGTAAACTTTGTGTCTAATTTTCACTATGAATGATGCCACTATGTATGGATGAGAGATTTATTGAATATTCCTGCATACAAGAAATGTTCATACACATTAAAAAGTAATATGAAAGAGAACAGTATGTGGTAAAGCACTTCTCAGTGATAGCCAGTTTTTAAACTTTAGATATGTTTCTATATATTCAATCATAGGAATGTTGTCCCAGTTTACAAATAGTTGGGGAAATGTTAGATTATGTTTTAGGAATCAGGGTGACAGGTGTGATAGCTTAGACCAGGGATCCCCAACCCCCAGTCCACAGAACAGCACTGATCCGCAGCATGCCAGAAACTGGGCTGCGCAAAGAAGTGAAGTCCCATCTGCGGGATGCAGGCAGCATATGCGAAACCATACCCCCTCTGTTTGTGGAAAAATCTCTCTCTCTCTTTGGTCCCTAGTGGCAGCTGGTTTAGACTATCATTTTGTTAGCGTGGAAGAGTTCTGATTTTTAACTTTGGCTATGGGAAGACAGATCAGAGGCAAAGGACTGCATTGCTGTTTCAGGGACATGGGAAAGTGGAGCCCTTGTCTCAGAAAAATACCAAAGGTATGTCAGCCCTGGATTTTATTAGAAGAAGGAAAATACAGAAATAGAAGACGGGGAACTGACAATTGCAGCAGCCTACTCTGCTATGAGACAAAATGAACTCTGAGTCAAATAAGAGAAGGAAAGGGTTTTCTTCAGGCTGACAAACTTTACAACCATATTGCTTGAATTTGGAAATTCTGGTCCCACTTGCCTTTGTAACTCGAGGCCTACCAGTATATAAAATCTATCTTGAAAAATGTCAGTTTAAAGATTGGGTCCAGCATAAATTTCCATCAGCAGAAAAGTTTTGATATAGCAGAGTTTTTCAGTTGGATGAATGTGGGCCTCAGGTAATACTTGGAAATTTCTTTGTCACTTTGTAAGGCTGGAGGATATTGGAAAAACTGGTGCCAAGGAGCTACAGAGGGAGGGAGGAATCGATTGCATAAACACCGTTTATGTCAGAAGAATCATTCTGAGTTTGGAATATTCTTACTGGCAGAATAAAACCAACAGGATTGATCTCTAGTTCGGTATTAATTTTAGTATTCCTGGTATCTAGTCATATTTTTAAAAAAAAGCTAAATAAAACCTTGCTTCTCTTGGCTTTCCTCTTGACCTGCTATTGTCCTTACAATACAAACAAGCCTTTCAAATAATTAAAACCCAATTACTATATATTAAACAATAAAATGAACTTAGTTTAATTTCATATATCAATGGGCATTAAGAGTATCCTAGTTTGGAACTCAAAAGCCAGTTTGATGCACTGGTTAAGGCACTGGCCTAGAAACTGGGAGACCAGAAATTCTAGCTGGTGACCTTGGACCAATCCCTCTCCTAGCCCTAAGCAGAAGGCAATGGCAAACCATTTACAAAATCTTGCCAAGAATATGGTAAGGACTAGTCCAGATGATTGCCAAGCGTCATCACTGACTCAAAAGTACATATGCATATGCATACACAAAAGATTGGAACCAAATAGATATTAAGAGCCGCAGTGGTGCAGTGGTTAGAATACACTGCAGGCTAATTCTGCATTCCACTGCTAGGAGTTCAATTCTGACTGCCTCAAGGTTGACTCAGCTTTCCATCCTTCTGAGGACTGTAAAATGAGGAGCCAGATTGTTGGGGGCAATATGCTGACTCTGTAAACCACTTAGAGAAGCTTTAAAGCATTCTGAAGTGGTACTGTATATAAGTCTAAGTGTTATTGCTAGTCACACTTACATCCTTAGCTCAGCAGTAAGTCTTTTATTAGTATCAGACATCATGTTGTGCTTACCTCAGTGATCAGTTAGCTAAAATTCCTTTTTCTAGAACTTGTCTGCAATTTGCAATTCAAATTGAACAGAAACCACCTAACATGTTTTGTTGTACTGCCCTTATTACCAAGGTAGCTGTCATTCTCTCATCGGTTGCATATTTGAATATTTGCCAAGGTGATTAGATACGTTTTATCTTGTTTTCCTCTTATTAGATCGTAAACCTAACTTTGCATATAGTATACCCACATATTGGGACACTGTTTTAAAAGACAAATTGCTACAGAATTAGATCTGCAATAATAATAAAAAAGAATAAATATGTCCAGAGTAAGTTAAGTTACATGTTATGGTGTTAGAATTTCACATACAATTTTAAATCAGTTTGTTATGCTATATTATTGTTATATTGTATGCTGTATTATAATTTTGCTGTCCAACTTTTCTGATAACAGATTGAATTAATGTATATATGTGCATATTAACAGAATTACAAAAAGGACTTGGAGGTTTTCTAACCCAACCCCCTGCTCAAGCAGGAAACTATACTATTTCAGACAAATGGTTGTCCAATCTCTTCTTAAAAACCTCCAGTGTTGGAGCACCCACAACTTTTGGAGGCAAGCCATGTTTATCCTGCAGTCTGATTTACAACTATATTAAATGCATGTTGTTTCAGCTTCAGAATAACAGTTCAGGAGAATTGATTTATTTTTCTAAAAGCTATAATAATATTTGAATTGTTTTGATCAGTGTTCTTCCAAATTTTCACTTTCCATTTGGACTTCCTTGTTCTTACAGCTGTCTCTGTTGGAGCATTTTTATTCACACCCTCTCAGTGTGCTATGTTGCGAAGTGCAAGAATCTGAGAAAAGAGTACAACTTTTATCACATAATCAGTTTGAAAATATTCGAAGGTTGCCATCTTTTAGAAGGTACATAATTAGCTAAACTTCTTGTCATTGCATTTAATTTTTTTTTTTGCCTTAATTGATTTAAGAAAAAATAAACCATTCCAATTTGAGGTGAATGATACAAATAAATTTCCTAAATTGCACATATGTGCAAATGCATATCATCTTCATATTATTTTATTAATTTATTAAAAAATATATATGGCCACTCATCTTAAATGAATAATTCTGGTCAACCAACAAAATACTGTACATGTAAAAACATTATAAAACCAACATAAACCAAGACAAACTATAGCATTAAAAACAATAATAATACAATAGCTGAGGTACAGTGTAATCACAATAACAATAACCAACATACAAAAAGACACATTTTGCTTCTCCTAACATCCAGGCCTTAATGCTTAGAGGGGAAAAAACCATGTCTTCATGAGCCTCCAGAAGACCATTTAGACCTCGGAGCAGGTTATTATATAGGACAAGTGCCACAACAGAGAGGCATGTTTCCTGGGCTCCTAGATGATGCTGCTCCATAAGAGGGACCCAGAACATGCCCATCCTGTCAAATCTAGTGGAAATGTGACTCTGTGCTCTTTAGGGCTTTAAGGGCGATAACGAGGATCTTGAATTGTATTTGGAAGCCTACTAGCAGCTGGCACTTACAATTGTGATGTCACTTGGGAGAACCCAACACTGTATGTGCTGCTGTATTCTGGAGCATCTGATACTTTCGAAGGGTTTGGAATGCTGGAGAAGCTGACATAAAAAATATTGTTTTTGGAATTGAGTTGAATCTGGTGAGGAACTGCAAAAAAGGAAAACCCGCTATATTTCTAGTCAGAAGTTCAGAAGGATATCTCTGATTTCTCCTGTCTAACTTGCTTCCTCGTCATATGATTCAGATTAGAATTATTATTAAGGAGTTGGAAATTAACCTAGTTAATATCCAGGTTTGAAATTAACTTTTTCTTTTCCTCTGTTCAGGTTTGTTGAAAGCCAGGAAGTAGAGAAGCAGGCTGCATTGCTGACAGATGACGAATGTTTAAAGGTAAAATCTAGGACTAAAAAAAAATTCTACAATGTATCTTATTTCAGCCAAGCAATACTTCTGTATAACATCCAGAATTTGATTTATATAAGTGTGCCTTCATTTCACTCCTCACGTCTTCCAGATCTGCTCCATTGTGAGAATTAAGTGGAAGAATCAGGTTTGCCAGTCAGAATTCCTATAAAATGGAAAATGATACATTACGAAATTGTATTTTTATTACAGAGGGACTATGCACCCTCTACACTAATTCTTGAACTATTTATACCTGTTCCTTCAATTCCTCCATAATTCATTTTAGTTAGTCATTAGGAATAAGTACATTTCAGTCTAGTCTAAAAGAAAGAAAAATGTACTTCCAAAAATGAAAAGAAGGAAAATATGCTCCTATGGTGACTGCTTTAAATTTTTGCCATGCTTTCTGGAAAAACACCTTGTAGAGAAGAATTCTAAAACAAGGGGGTAATTTCCTTTGATGAGGGACTGGATGAGAAATAGCCTAGAATACTTATCAGTAAACTTCCTGACATAATGAACCCTAACTTCATGTTTTGCCACTTACCACCCATGCCAGGGCTAATGGGAAATTCAACATATCCAAAGAGAAGAATTTGCCTATTTGTGATTTTGAGACTAAAGGAAAATGTGCAAGGATATTGTATAGATTCAGGAGCTGGTAACTGAATGCTGCATTCTGTTTGCTTCTTAATTTTAACTGTGAAAAATGAAAAGATGTCACATGCTGTGTTCTTTAAAATTTAAAAACCAAACAGCAGGTTGGTGAGCATAATCTGACTACTATAATTTACTTGCTATGATAATTATTCCAAAACAGGGGACATATTTCAATAACAGCTAGAGAAATAAATTAACATGAGATTCAAAGAGAGGCTGGGATACAGGAACATCAAAAGGCAAAACATAAATCAACTTTGTATCAGGCCTTCAGAGGCAGCCAGTACTGAAGCTGTTTAAAATCCATATTTTAAATTGCTGAAAACAGCCACTGTGAATGATAGGCCATAAAAATTCATTTCTGCAATGTCCCTGCATTATTCAATATGTTTCTATCTTTATTAAAGTTAGCTAACAGCATTTTAAGACAAACACGGCACTTTGATTTTAAATAGTAAACTAAACTAGCAGCTTCATAACTCATATTTAACCCAAACATGGATTGTTTTGGTTTTGGCTTAGTACAGTATAATGTGTGACCCCAAGCTTTAAAGCTTGTTTAGCAACCAAAAAGAAAATATATTTAGCATGATGCATATATCCTGATTAGGTTTACTCATCAAGCTAAACCACAATGTAGGTTTGCCTGTTTATGTCTTATTGTGAGATGTGAACCCAACCATTATGATTTGTAAACCATGATTTACTATTTACCATGTAATATAATCACAGTCAGTCAATAGCAATTCATAAGGTACAGTTAACTAAATCATGGCTTTCCTATGCAATCCTAGTCACTGAGTCACCTACTGTCATTAAAATAATAGTGAAGTAAAGATAAATCTAAATGAACTTACTGAGTTACAGTGCCAAACTGCATGATCTTTGGTCTTCTTTGTTCTTGCGTACTGCTGTCCCAGGACTTATTGACAAATTGGCTTGCTGGTTAGATGTGATGACAGCCTATTGTTTGCACTAAAGAAGAAGAACCTGAATGAATTGGGATGTATGAGGAAGAGAGGAATGTGTAAACGCAAGACTTATTGATAATTGACATGCCAAAACTTGGAATGTTGTGTTAAAGGCGGATTCAATTAGTGGAACTTATTTGTTGCTTAAAGAAAAACATTGTATATTTGCAGCATGTTTATTTAGAAGCAAATCCCACTGAATTTTCTGAAGCTAAATGTTCAAACATAGAAAATATATGATGATGAGATGGGTTTTGAATATTAATGAAGTAAAAGAGACTGTTGAAAGATGAATTGATAAGAGCTAGTAAAATTCATTTACAAATACATCTCTTGGTGATATGTCTGTATTTGATCTAGTCTGAACAAACAAAAAAGTTATAAAGCCAAATAAAACAAGAAAATATTTCATACTTCATGATGAAAAATATTCTCACAGCTTTAGGTTTAATATGCATAAAGATTGTGCTCTTTTTTTCATAAAAACAAAGCATTGTTTCTGAAAAAAAAGGTTATTTTATGGAGGCTTCCGTTCATATTGATCTAGAAAAATTATTCACCTGTGGAGAAACAGTACAGTAATAAAGCAGTAAAAACACCAGTGTTTTAATGCTACATTTTTCTGTTAGATAGAAAATAAAATCTATTAGATAAGGCTGTTAACAGTGTTAAATCTTCCTTCTCTGGAAATTGTCTAATATATTTTAGTTTTATTACAATAGTTGAGTTTAATAATAAAAAAAACCTGTTCTTCTCCCCTCCCCCCAAAAGAAACACAGCAGTTCAGCATTAGCAGTTCATCATAGAACAAAATGATCTGTTGGATCTCTTCACTAAATTTAAAGAAACTGATATACAGTTGGATTTTCTCCTTAAATCTGCAGAGTGGCAAAATGAAATATATGGGATAGAACAATATATGTTTCTGTCTCCTGGAACAAACAGATATCTAGCTTCTACCAAATGCTTGCCTCTTCTGTGAATTACTTTTTATTGTCCTATTTTATTATAACACTGAGTCTTCTGGTTTTGCCAAAGATTATTGTAATCTAATATTCCCTATAAACTCCAAGACGTTTAGGACTTGATTCTGCACATTCTGCAAATATTTTTAATTTATTGAAAAAAACTAGGAGACCCACTCTTCCTGGGGAAAAATGCTTATCTTTCAGCTTACTGGGGTATCAGAGATACAATTTTTGCTCTACTACTTTAAAAGGAAATGAAATGCATCATTAAACTCAATGAAATTACAACGATATTGTTAATGTAAATGGAATATTTACAATTTTCATATAACTCCTTTAGCAGTGGAGTCACTAAAATTATTTTGGATTTTTTTCAAGTAGAATAATTCAATTTAGCTGTTAGAAGTTTGGGGATCAGTGCAATTTTTTTTATACAGGCTTTGAGAAAGGATAGGGATACTAACTGGTCATCTGACTTTCAAATTTTTATTGCTAATCTCATCCCCCTTTTCTCTCTTCTTTTCTTTATAGCTTCCCTTCTAAGTTTTCACTTGTGATAAAAAGGAAATCTCACCCTAGAACCCTAAATAAAGCAACTTCTACTATTTGTGTAGCAAGTATGAACTGAGGGCACTTGGTTCACCTTAGTTGTATTTAATAAAATGCTTTTCAATTAAAATGACTTATTTATAAACTGGGGCCTTATAAATAAGTCAGATGCTTTGAAGTTTAAAAAACAGCACCTAGGAGGTTTAAGAGTTTATCCATTTATTTCAGTTTGTTGTGGCTGTCCATTCTAATAGACCCTGGGCAGATTACAAAATCTAATACATAGTTAAAACAACATGGACAAGGCAAGAGAGCCTGAACTAAATCCAGGCACATGACATTCTAGGTCCACCCCTAACAGCATAGCTCCGAGTTTGAGAACCAGGATTTAAAGACTTCCAAGAACTCCAGGGGAGTGGGGTCCATCCTGATTCCTTGAGGGAGATGCTGTTCCAGAGTGTGTGGAACGCAACAGAGAAGTCTCGTGTTTTTGGTCCCACAAGATGGCAACATTTAATAAGCACCCACATACCAGATGTGCAAAAATGGGAGAGAGGTGGTATCTCAGACAACCAGTCCTTTTGTTGTGTAACTGATACCCAACATTCATAATTAGTTGGACTATAGGTTTAATGGGAAAGGACTACCTTGCTGTATGGAAGCATCTTCTTCAAACACATGTTTTCCTGGAATCCCACTGTAGCTGTAAAGGACAGTGTCATGATCCCCCCAAAAAGGCACAACTGATTTAAGGAGTTCCTGATAGTTGTCAGTCTCTACGTAATTGTTTGTATCCATTCTATGAGATCCATCAGGAGACATGCTTCAGATCTCGCCTGGCAGAGTGGAGTGCCATCTGCTTGCTCATGTATCTGAATAAATCCCATTCAATTTAATTGAGTTTACTTCTGGGTAGAATATAGAATAGCAATGCAATTTGTAAAATAGTTTTGTAATGAGTAAATGACTAATCAGACACTTCCTTTATAATTTTAGGAAACAGCACAAGCATTGCTAAAAGATCTCTATTGTTACCATGAAAATTATTTCCCAATTTTGCGGTGTCTTCATGCTTTCACGTCTTCTCTTCCAAAGTATCCATTAGGCAAACAAGTATGTGCTCTTTATTTTATGTCTCATATTTCGAAATCTTGAATTTGGTTTGCAGTCCTGCTGCCTTTTCTTTATTTTGCCTGCACTGCAATAAGATAAAACAACACTAACTCTTTTTTACTGCCGGCCACTCAATATACTCAAAGACAAAAGGGCCTTGAAAGTATTTTATAGCCCTTTTGACATTGAAATAATTAGGTTTAGTCAAACTGTCCCGGCTTCTTCCGAGAAGCGAATACTGAAAAATATACCTCAGGGTGGGAAAGAGATAACAAAAAAATACATTTATTGTAAGGCAGTGAAAGCAGTTTGTTTTACAGTGTGAATCTGTCCACATTAATTGTATGTACTTCCTTTCTTATTATCGAGCTAACATTCCTGGATAGTGTAGGAGTTGCTTTCCATATCTGAGATCAGTGAAGCCTTACAATTTATAAAGCTTTTATTGTAAGTAACAAATTGATAAAAACGAACATTTCATTAATACGATATTTGCAAAACATTTCCTGTATTACAGATCAGAGAGCTGTATTGTGCATGTTTGGAAAAAAGTGTATGGGAAAGAGAGGAATATGAGTCTGCCATGCAGCTGGTGAGGTAGCTCTCTTTCCATTTCTTATGTTCAAGACATATTAAAGTCTCTATTAGCTATTTAAGAAGAACTTGGGGTTGGAAATGTGTTGCCAGAGGAATAGTGGTTTTTTTTTTTTGTTTGTTTGTTTGTTTGTTTCATTTTTTTGGCAAATGATCATATTTTTTTAATATAAAATAATGTATGTCCTTTGTTAGTGGGATTGCCAGCTGGATTGCACAGCCAAATTCTACTTTTTTCATTCAGACCACTTGATCTTTGGATGAAACTATTCAGTTCATGGGTCTGTTTAAATTTTTATTCTTCAGTCTTTTCTCCAAGGACTCAATGGAACAACTCTTTGAAATCAGTTAATCCAGTGTTTGAAATAAAAATATAGAAATTTAAACCTGAATCATCATCATCCAGGCCTAATCCACTATTCAGTATACCACTCAGGCTGTCCTATGGCACATGTGTGTATATAAATCCAGAAATATGTTCCGCCCTGTTAGATGTTATTTCTACAACTAATATCGAGATGTGTTAATTTGTGGGCTCTCAAAGACAGGAAGGCATACCTGATAGGGCAAGATGGTAATGCTGAAATGAGAGTCACACTTATCAGATGGTGGCTGTGTAAATTGGATGGATAGACAGATGGATGGATGGATGGGAGGGATAGGCAAATGTGATTTCAGATATTGGTTATGGAATTTGGGTAATGTTTCTTCCCTCCCTCTTCAATTATTTTTCTTTTCATTTTGGATTATGGTAATTATAACATAATCCTATGGGCAGGGCCTTTTTTTTCCCCCAATATACTTTTATAAAGATTATCTAGAAGTGTAATTAAGTAGAGTTCATTCAAGTATGACTAAGAAGATCTGAAATACTGTGGCTTGGATCCAGGAGTATTTTGCACAAAGAGAAAAATATTTATGCTTCTGCAATGGTCCCTTTTTTAAGTTTTCCAATTTTCCAATTTCTGCCCCAGTTGAGGCCCTTCAATTAATATTTCTTTAATTTATTTATTTTTATTGGGATTTGTTATAAAATATGAATAGAAACTTAAGGAAAGGAGAAAGAGGGGGAAGGAGTGGAAAGTAGAAAGAAAAGCAGTGGTTCCCAGTTGGTTTTTTTTCCAGTGCAGTAGAATACAAGTCAATTTATATTTTTAAGGTTTTCCTGACTGTCAGACATAGCTTGGAAATCCTGTGCAGGGGATTGTAGAGAATATGAAGAATTTGCTATAGAAAAAGTATAGTGAAATAAGTGTAGGTAAATGTACAACAAAAGATAAAGTCTCCCTCAAACTGAGCTTGATGACTGATGATTGCACAATGTAACCATGACACTCACTATCTTAACAATACAGAAATAATCAATCATCTTCTACCATGTTTTTTACAACTTCCCAATCTTGGCTACATTCCTGAAATTTCCTAATGGCATCGATCCAAATAGTAACCAAATCTAACCTTGCTTAGCACTTCAAGATCAGCCTAGACTAGGTGCTATCTAACAAATGTACAGCAGAAGACAGTGTTTGTACAGTATATTTGCCTATCTTCTCAAAAAATAAAACTCTTCTGGAGAACCAGTAGCGGAAATTTTGAGTAGTTTGGAGAACTGGTAGTAAAATTCTGACTGGCCCCGCCCCCATTTATTCTCTGCCTCCCAAGTCCCAGCTGATCAGGAAGAAATGGGGATTTTGCAGTAACTTTTCCCTGGATTGGGGTGGGAATGGAGATTTTACAGTATCCTTCCCCTGCCACACCCACCAAACCACGCCCACCAAACCATGCCATGCGACACCCACAAAACCACACCCACATAACCGGTAGTAAAAAAAATTGAAACCCACCACTGTAAACAACAAAACAAAAATTTAATAAATCCTAATAAAATACTATAAGACAAAGCAAAAAGCAGATTAAGTTTTTAAGAGATATATTGTGAACACAAAATTTGACTTTGTTTGGCTTTGCTCTGAGTTGAATTCAGAAACCCATCTTATATTTATCTGGGAGAAGTATGAGCCAGACAAGGAAATGGAAAGAGGGTCTTTATCACTGAGAGTTCTGCCACTTGTATCTTAGATTCAAGCCCCTCCTGATTTGTCAAGGCCTCCCAGAAGATCGGTTGAGTCCAAGCAGTAATCAATATGTTTTTATGAAAATGGCTCTGTCTTCCTTGAATGAAGTGTATGCCCCTTCTCAAGAGGTCATTCTTGGACCCAACTTTGTTGGACAACTTTTGTCCAGGTTCCAGGATCATCTACTCTACAAGTCTTTTTATCCAGGCCCTGGATGAAGATTATGTTGATGCTGCCTCCAGGTTGTCAGGACTTACCAGGATAGAATGTAAATAATTATATAAAATTAAAATGAAATAAACATTTTAAATCCATAAATGGAAAGCTTTACTATACATTCAGAGGTGTATAAATGAAATCATGTGTGAACAGTTAGGTTGAGTTTTGCTGAAGTTTCCATTCTTGGTTTCTTTTTTTAGGATGTTGGCCAAGGACGAGTTGGTGGCTATTCTTGAAAAATGTGTGGACGTTCTTATATCCTCTTCTGCAAAGTGTCTAAGAAAGGCTTTAGAAAAATTGGAGGGATATGTGCAACTACTTAAAAATCTTGAAGGTACTGAATTTTTGTTAGATATTCTAATTCCATTATTATTTTCTGCAGCCATACTCACTGAAGAGATGTAGAAAATACTCTCATTATAAAAAGAAATGCCTGGCATTATGAGAACAAATAAGGAATAAATTAGCTGGTTCCTTAAGGTTTTTTAGGCTTCCAGGTAGTAAAAAAAGAAGTAAACTTATTAATGTTGAATTTATCCCCCTAGATTGAGAATTGAAACAATAATGGATGGATTGCAATATATTGGATTGCATTTTAAAGTGACATTTCTTAAGGAGCACAATGATTTTTAGTTAAATCGTTGCATTGTTTTTGCTGTTATTGGTCAACTCAGCATAAAAACTTACTCTGCAAAACTGAAATGTTTTAAATGCCAAATTAGAAGGTGAAGAAAGACAAATGATCAATGATTGAAATAAAAAGGCAGGTTGTGGCTGAAGGTAAGGAAATATTTCATAATGGTAACAGCAGTTCATCAGTGGAACCAGTTACAGGGAAGCGGTGGTCTCTCATTTACTTCTCCTCCTTCCTTTGAAAACCTTATCCCATTTTTTTATTTGACCAGTTCAGAAGCTAGAGATACGTTTGTAAATTCCTCATTGGCTCTTTTCTGCCCGTTACAGTATTGCATATCCCAAAAGAATGGGTTCTTTGAGTTGTAAGAAATAAAAATTTGGGAAAGATTACAACAATTAGGCAGTCAATAAGTACATGGTGTTTTTTGTTTTTTAAAAAATAGGATTATTATTTCAAAAACAATTTCAGGTTCAGATATATAGATAGATAAAATTACAAATATGAGTATCAAGGGGACAAAACATCAGAAATAGATAAAAATCTTGCATACATACATCAGAGAGCTATTTTTGAAGATTGTATTTGTGTTTTATGTTAGTTCAGTTAGACTCTACTGCCTTAAACCATGCAAGTTATTTGAATCTATGGCACACACATATGGCTAGTGAAGGAAGAAGTCTCTGTATATGTTAAAACAATAACTAAAGCTGCCTGGAAGGCATTTGAACTGAATTTTGTAATTTCTGAGAATCTGCCCAGCAAGGCTTAATACGGGATTAAGTGTTGCAGAGGGATTTCAGTGTTGTTTCATTTTATCTTTCATTTTTCTTTGGGTAAATCCTTAATCTTATTTTGTTTGATTGTAGGAAGCCAGAGGAGAGGAAGAGTGGAAGATTTCCCCCCCCCCCCCCCCCCCCCCCAAAAAAACCCATGCTGGATTCAATCTTGATTTGCATTTATGTGCATGAAATTACTTACTAAATCCTAGATCCCATGGCGGTTTTTTATTTCAATTGCCATCTCCAATGTCACTTTCAATGAAAGATCTCCCAGTCCTCTGAAAACCTATTGGGGGGGGGAGGAGTGGGTTTGCTGAATATGTGTCTAGAAGTCCATCCAACCAAATCCCACCTCTTTTTCAGCTAGTACATAGAGCTTCTTCTTTTCTCGGTTGGATCCTTTATGGAAGATAATTATACTTGCTGTTTTCTTATACAAATCACAGAAGTTAGTGGTGATCAAGAAAAATCCATATCCTCACTGGAAGAGCTTCAGAAGAAAACAGATCTGTATCATCTTCAAAAGGTCAGCATATTTAACTGTTGACTTTGTAATTCTAATGTTACTAATAAGTTGACTGGTA